GAGAGAGAGAGAGAGTCATTCACACATCATTTTGCATACAGATGCTTGTACTCTAACAACACACACTCCTGACCCTATGAACTTTTAACCATAGGAATTGGGGTTTTCACAGTTGCAACATCAAATCGTACCCAAACACACTCAGAGTTGTATTTCTGAAGGCCTACTTGTGGTTCACACACAAACAATTACTGCTGTAATATCATAACTGCTGCAACGTTTCTCAGTGGCCTCCGCTGCTTCTCTCCTATTTGCTTCTCTCTTGTTCCTCCTTAAACTCTGTTTATTCTCTAATGACCAAAGATTTCTCCTCACCTTTTTACTTTCCCTCTTACTCCCCTCCCTTCATTTTTCTTTCCTTTCCACTGAGACCTATTACGGATCTTTTAAGGCTCCACTGAGCGAAACCAATTTACCACAAACTGGGTCAGGCTCCACTAATGCCAACCTGCACACATGTATACGTGCACAAGCACATGCACAAAAATGCCTGCAATCACCTTGACCTTTCCTGCTCTTGCCAACATCTCAAGTAAACGCACACACACACACACACACACACACACACACGCGCACGCACACACTTGATAGTTATCTCCAGATTGGGATCAGTAGAAAGTAAAAGGGTGTTTTTTTTAGTCAGAGTCTGACATTCACTGCGTTCATGGCCAAGAGGGATTGGCCGGTCCAGAGGAGGGATGCAGGGAGAAACAAAGAGAGAGGCCGTAAGGTTGCCCATATTTAGCTGAAACTATGTGAAATCTCAGCACCTCCTCCCACGTGTAGAGTTTAAAACTTGGCTCCACAAAATATTGTCAGATCGGAGTAGAATGGAGGTGGAACATTTCAAGTGCTGTGGTTAAATAACAGTCACGAGAAAGGGTTCACAGTCTCAGTGAAACTCCTGAAATACTTCAACAGTGTCAGTGTTCAACAGTGATAATTACGTGTTGTATTTTAGAACCCAAGTACAAAATATAGCACAATTTACATTTTGCAAAGAGAAACGTTATCATTTAATATATCTGAGACCGTCACTGAAGCCCAAAAACTTGGATCCAATCTAATTTAAAGTCTATAAACCGTGTTAACCCAGTGAGGGCGGCGATCCCAGCTGACATTACTGTCTTTAAGAGGCTGGACCGGGCTCGGTGTTCATGTCATGCTAGCTTGACGGGAAGGCGGCTAAATAACGGCCCAAAGTTTGGCTAAATTTAGGCACGGGAACAACTTGCAGGGCCATTTTCAAATGGGTCCCTTGACCTGTCACCTCAAGATATTATTTTCGCCTATTTTAAAAATTGTGTATTTGAATGTGTATGCACCTAAACAGTGTTGGAATTGCATAACTTGGGTTTGACTGAAAGGTCGAGAGACTCTTGTGGATCCAGTGAGCCTGATTCATGTGTACTGATGTCCGTCCCCTTAGGAGACATTTCACCGAGTGTGACCATTTGTTTTATTTTAAACCTGACCTCACTGGATAAAATGACCTGTTGTGACCTAAAGGATAAGCACAGCCTCATGAAAGTACAACTTCTGCTACTTACAACCACAAAAAAAGAGACCTAGGGCATTTGTCTAAGGGGGTTCCTCGAGGCCTCAATGAGGTATTTTGGAGCAATTTTTTAATCATTTTTACCCATTTTCGAGTGGAAAAATAGTTACATTTTGCACCAAATCTGTGTAACAAATGATATCGACAACTTATGAGACATAAGTGAGCATGGGAACAGCAATTATACTTCTAACATAATGTTGTAAGCCATTGTTTACATATTATATTGTGTTTTGGGTGAAAAGCACATATAGTCACACCCCAACCACTTCTCTTTCTCGAGTCGATGTCAACATGGTTAGGCACAAGATGCAGGCATGAAACAGCAGCTATCCAACACACACACTTTGCTTGACCTTAGTTGGTTAGGTCACTATCACACATCATCCCTTACTTTATTCCCTGCTATGTCCTCAGACAAAGCGTCCGTCCCTCGCGACAAGAGCGTCCATTCATACCCATTAGGACAGCAGTAAATAGCCGGAGACAACCGTGACTGGGGCTAATCCGATTGCCTCTCACAATGGATGCTCAGGACAGACCGATCAGCGAGCAGCCAATGGGGAGAAAGGAACACACATAGATGGCTACACATCAGGATTATAGGGAGGCAGTCGGACACGGAAATGGAAAGCCACATCATTAACTGGTTTAAATGAGAGTCACACACACAAACTCCATGAGAGCTTTAAAACACAAACATTCTACGTTAACAACCATCTAGTAAATTCAGGCCCTACTAACATAAGAATGAATGCCACACGTGACCTTTACAAACACAATAGATAGATAGGATACAATTGTTTTATAAATACTATTCGTTTTCTGGATTTTCTCTTTTTAGTTTGGGGGGTCCACTACAGTCCAACCCAGGACCAGTTTGCTAACCTTGAGACATGCTGAATCACTGTTAAAATGACCCTTAAACAGAACATACTACCACTGTTTAACACATGCACGCAGGTTCAAAAACAGATATGCAACTAGAAGTCCCTCCACAGAGATTTGTACAGCCCCGAGACACACCACCATCATTAAGACAACTTACTCTTCCGTTCATTCCTCCAGAGCAGCCAGCTGGCTTTCTCCCCCCACTAAATCTCTCTTCTCTATATATATATATATATATATATATATAAATAATATATGTTTAACATAACACAGAGTTGCTTTACGGAACAGTTCCAGATCAGACCCTGAGGGCAGAGAGGAAAGGGAGGAAAGGGAGGAAAAGAGAGACTAAGAATGTTTAAGAAAGAAATGCAGACGGCATTCTGTGTAAACTGTACAAGAAAAGGGTGATTAGGGGATTACGGTGGTTTTTCATTAGTTGCAATATTTAGATTAGGCCATAGGATGAATCATTTCAAAGTAAGGTTTGTTAGAATAAGATATTAATATAAATAGTAGAGTTTGTGTCTGATAAATAAAAAAAAGAGTGAAATGAATCAACTTTTTGCATACCACTTCTCAAACTGAAGCACACAGCATTACCCTCACCATGGCAGGTCAATCAGAGTAGAGCCTCCGACTAAACATATGCATGAGAAAACCACCAGGAGCTTAAAGGTGAGCTTACTGGCTCTCTTACCTCAAAACTACATACACACTTATGACCTACGAGGTTTTACATATGAAACACACACACACACACACACACACACACACACACACACTGAACACATGCCTGTTTGTGAAGCTTCAAGAGACTGTTATGTTTAAATTCTAAAGGGGACCCAGGTCCCCTTTAGAACCTTGCAGTAAGTTGGATTCAGTAGCATGTTATTAAATTTGAATCGTTTTGCATAATTTAACAAATCCACTAAAGATTAGCATCCAATAGTTTTAAGTGCCGACAGTTATAAATAACTTCGAGGCAGAATGAGTATTTTCCTCAAAAACAATGTGTAGACTTCGAGAAAAATAATCTCTCTCGATCGTCACTTATAAACCACTAGAAGTGTGTGGGAGTGTTTGGATCTGCATTGATCTGATTTGACTTTGTTCAAGACGTTTCTGGGTGTCGACCTACGAAAAGGGCCGACACGGCACCGGAAAAACACGGAAATATAGTGAGCCCAAATGATAAGCGAACAAAGCTCATTCCAAAACGAGCGAACACCGTAAGGGAGGAGGGGCCAACTTTGAATGTTGTGTTTCCGAACCGCAACCAACCAATCCTACTCATTGTGCCTTCAATATTTAACAACAAAAACTCCCAATATTTAATAGAAATGGGATACATCGTTATACATTATAAATGTGTGCAATTATGCACACAACCTGTAGCTGCAAGCTGGAAATGAGATGTGTGTGGTGTGCATGTTGGGCTCAGTAATCAACAAAAGGAACTGGCCTGAACAAACATACGGCCAGAAGTGCAGGCAGGTGCTCCCATCAGCCTCCTTTCCTCTTTCTCCAGACACCCAAGCTTTGTGGTAGTTTGCAAAAGGGTCTCCTCAGGCCAAGGTCACCTCCCTGTAGACCACCACAGCTCTGCTCTGGCTTCCAGATGTTCTCAGACTCACATACATGCACACACACACACGCACAAGTTGTATTATTTGTGTGTGTTGGTTTGCCGCTCCTTTTATTGAAGGTATACTGCCTTCGACAACAGGACTTCTTGTACGAGAAGACTTTTAAAATAAAGTAAAATAAAGCTTGGTTCCGAATGTCGTGTGTGTGTGTGTGTGCACGTGTGTGTGTGTGTGTGTGTGTGTGTGTGTGTGTGTG